CAGAGGTCCTGAGGTCTGTGGTAAGATCTAGCTTGCTGTATCTATCCATAAATCATGAATTACTGTCTACCTGTTTAACTCCCTATACATTTCTAACTTCCCAATTCTTGCTCTGTCCAGCCAAAGTTCCAAAAGCCCATAAGATGTAGGAGCAGAAGTAGGCTGTTCAGCCCATTGATACTGCAACCCCATTCAAAAAGATCATAGTTGATTTGGTAGCCCTCAACTCCACTTTCCTGCCTTGCCCCCATAACCTTTAATTCCTTTACTGATTAAAAATCCATCTTCCTCAGTCTTGAATGTACTTAATGACCCAGCCTTGACAGCCCTCTGTGTAAAGAATTCCACAGATTCACTCCCCTCGGAGAGAAGAAATTCTTCCTCATCTCTGTCTTAAATGTATGCTACTTTATTCTGAGATGATACCCTCTGGTCCTAGACACTTCCACAAGGGGGAAACAACCTTTCAGCATCTACCCTGTCAAGCCCCTAAGAATCATACATGTTTCAATAAGGTCTTCTCTCATCCTTCCAAACTCCAATGAGTACAGGCCCAATCGTCTCAACCTCTCCTCATAAGAAAATCCCTCCATCCCTGCAATCATCCTGGTAAACCGTTCATATATCTGTCCATCTAATATCATTGATTATATGGATTTTTATTTCTGTCAATCTCTGCCCATCTCCTTCGGTCTATCCCTTTCCGTCTGATTCTTATTCTCTCCAGTTGTGACTCCTGTCTCTCTATCTACCTGTTTCTGTCTTGAGGGTGTAAACTGGTCACAATGACAATGAATGCCCCCATGCAACCAAATATCTGTTTTTAGACAGTCATGGTTGTGGTAAAGGCATAGAGGAACATACATGCAGGCATAGAGACAATACACACGCGCACACAGATATACACACACAGACAGGGGCACTCACGTGAACACACAGGCACACACCCAGACAGACATACTCGCAAATACAGACATGCACACACACACACACAAAGGCACTCACACGCACACACACACACCTGCATACAGTCACAGATACCCACATATGCATGCACATGCATACATACAGACATGTACACTAACACAGATATGCAAACATGTACGCACACATAGAATGCACATACAGACATACACACAGACATATACATGCACACACACAGACATACACACAGATATGTACACTAACACAGATATGCAAACATGTACGCACACATATAATGCACACACACACACACACTCATACACACAGACACCCACAGGCACACACGTGGACACACACACAGACATGCACACAGGCACAGATGCGCGCAAACAGGCACATACACACACAGACTGACTGCCCACGCATACGCATACAGACATGCACTCGCACATAAATATACAGAGATAAAGTTCAAAAAGGCAGCTCACCACCACCTTCTGAAGGGCAACTAGTGACGGGCAATAAGCGCTGGCCCAGCCGGCGATGAATTAAATAAAAACACAGTCAGACATCGACTCTGGAGACTAGTCGTTGTCAAACAGCGTTGTCAAATGTTGACTCCGGCGTGTTTTGGGGGGTTGGGGTGAAAAGAGGACGGAGGTACTGATCCCGGGAGTTCCCGGGAGAGTGGAGGACCCACAGAATCACAGGCACTGCGAGAATGGGCCAGTGAGCCGGTGAGACTCTCTCTCTCTCTCTCTCTGTGTCTCCGTACAGGATCCTGGCATCTCCCGGCAGTTCCGGCTCTTTAAAACCATGTGTTCAGTTTCAAATCTCCGCTGATGGCCCGGAGACCCGGGGAGCTGAGCGGAGAGCTGCCGGATCGGTTACATACTTTCCGGCGGGAGTTGGAGGGAGGGGGGGGCGCTTGAGAAATTCACCGAAAACTCTTCTTACTCACTCAGCGCCCACCCCCCAACACACACACACACACACAGAGGCAGGTAAAGGTGTGGGCTGGGAGCGGGATGAATACATTCAACGTCGCTATAACCCGGAGCTGCGTCCTACTATTCATTTCACCCCAATTCATTCGCTTCCAAATTCCTTCCGTTTTGACTTCAAATAGAAATCTTTTAAAATCGACTGTAGGATTAACGTAAGGGAGCTGATGGGTCACCTCATTGTCACACAGGAGATGAGAATGTGGCTGCGTGTCTACTCCTTTATCTGTATGTGTGTGTCTATGTCTCCGTGTATGTCTGTCTGCAATGTGTGTGTGTCTGTGTGTGTGTGTGTGTGTGTGTCTGTTTGTGTGTCTGTATGCGTGTGTCTGTCTGCATGTGTGTGTCTGAATGTGTGTGTGTTTGTATGTGTGTCTGTTTGTGTGTGTGTCCGTGTCTCTGTGTGTGTCTGTCTGCATGTGTGTGTCTGTTTGTGTGTGTCTGTTTGTGTGTCTGTATGCATGTGTCTGTCTGCATGTGTGTGTGTCTGTTTGTGTGTGTGTGTCTGTATGCGTGTGTCTGCATGTGTGTGTGTCTGTATGTCTGCATGTGTGTGTATATCTGTGAGTATATACGTTTGTGTCTGTGTGCGTATATCTGTGTGTATACGTGTGTGTATGTGTGTGTATATCTGTGTGTATCTGTGTGTGTATACGTGTGTGTATCTGGGTGTGTATATCTGTGTGTGTCTGTGTGTGTGAGTGTGTGTGTGTGTGAGAGAGTGACACACAATACACACAAACAAGGGGTTGGCTGTCACTGCGTATCATTGCCTGGTCCCTTTTCATTTATTCAAGGGATGTGGGCGTCGCTGGGTGAAGCAGCATTTCATGCCCGTCCCTAGTTGCCCCTTGAGAAGGTGGTGGTGAGCTGCCTTCTTGAACCGCTGCGGCCCACCTGCTGTGCGTTGACCCACAATGCTATTAGGGAGAGAATTGCGGGATTTTGACACAGCGACAGTGAAGGAACCGACCGTGAGTGGCTTGGAGGGGAACTTGCAAGGGGTGGTGTTCCCATGTATCTGCTGCCCTTGTCCTTCTAGATGGAAGGTGCTGCTTGAGGATCTTTGGTGAATTTCTGCAGTGCATGTTGTAGATAGTACACACTGCTGCTACTGAGCGTCAGTAGTACAGAAAGAACGTAGAATTTGGAAAAGTACAGCACCAGAACTTAGTGCCCCACGTCTGTGCCGACCATGATGCCATTCCAAACTAATCCCATCTGCCTGCACATGCACCGTATTCCCTCTATTCCCTGTCTGTTCATCTATGTCCATCCTTCACTTTGTACCCATAAATGCAACAACAACTTACACTTATATAGCACTTTTAAAGGAGTTACATATCCCAAGGTGTTTCACAGGAGCAATGATCAAACAAAACTTAATTCCTGAAGGAAACATTTGGTCAGGTTGACAAAAAGGTTATCAAAAGATAGGTTTCAAGAAGTACACTAAAGCCAGAGAAAGATGTAAAGAAATTCCAGAGAAAATTCCAGATCTTAGGATCCCAGCAGCTGAAGGCACAACCATCAATGACACAGACTGGGGATACTCAAGAGACCAGAATTAGAGCCTTGAAAGTTTCAGTAGGTCTGGCAGCATCTGTGGAGAGAAAGCAAATTTAACGTTTCGGGTCCAGTCACCCTTTCTCAGAACTCTGAAGAAGAGTCACTGGACCTGAAATGTTAACTCTGTTTCTCTCCGCAAATGCTGCCAGACCTGCTGAGTTTCTCCAGCAATTTCTGTCTTTGTTTCTGATTTCCAGCATCCACAGTTCTTTTTTTTACCTTGAAAGTTTGTCGGATTGTTGTAAATTAAAGATATAATGGGACAAGGCCACAGAGGATCGGAGTAATAAAAGTTTAAAGCCTCATTTCTCGGTTAATTGTTCACAATGTGTCTGCATACCTCTCTGTGTTTTGTAGCGTGTAACGTACGGAATATTCGGTTTGATTTCTGGACCAGTGAAAGATTTGTACTTGCTCCTAGGAAAAGACCAGGCGGAACGCAAGGACGTTCGGTCCGTTTACAGCTCCTGTCTTACGGTCTGGATCTGGGTTCTGCGCATGAGGCGCTGCTCAGGGCGATGCAGAAAGGGATATTAAGGGGACACTTGGACAGTACCGACCGTCCTCATCCCCACTCACTCTCCCAAAGACAGCAATCAAAACCAAACCTAGCCCGATGGTGGGGAGGTGGGTTCTGCTGTGGGCCGGGGTGGGGGGTCGGGGGGTGTTGGGGGGTCGGGGGATGTCGGGGGGTGGTGGGGAGGGGAGGGGACGGGGGAGAAATGGCTTAAGTTAGAAACCGACTAACTGAGGCAAGGCAACAGTCACTGTTGTCAATTTCAAAAAGGGAACAAATATTGTCTAGCAGCATCAGTGGAGAAAGAGACAAAGTTAACGTTTCGGGTTCAGTGACCCCTTCCTCAGCACCTTCTTCAATAAGTACTCGATTAATCAGAAAGCGCATCTGAGGTCGCTAGGTAAATGCAAATCTTATTGCGTTCGTATATTCTAAAAATTAGAAATTCAAGATTAATCAAATTTGGATTGATCCCTAGGAGTCTACTTTCCGTGGTTGTTATTTACTAGTTAACGCGATTCACCGGTCGGTTTCAGTTCCCCCCATGGCTCTCTTGCCCATTCCCTAACCATACACTCTCCTGATGTTTATTTCCACATTCAGATCTCTTCTAAACCCCCTCCTCCTTCCGTTCCTACCTCAGTCCAAGCTCCTTTGCACCTGTCTCAGGAGGTACAACAGAGAGAGAGAGAAAATCGTTATATTTTTAACACTTGCGATTCTAATTAAAACCACAGCAAAGAAGCAGAACCTCAATTCGACTTTTTTTGTTGGCTTTCGACACCAGGGGACGGAGTAGATACAATTGGTATGTTATTAATGAGGCTTTTGCAACTCAGCTATTAACATTCGTTGCTTAAAATCAAAATTGTCCCAGTCACACTTCTGGAAAAAAATGCAGGAAAACGAAAATTAACGTCAAATGGTTAATAAATGGTATTAAACTCGGCGGATATTTTAAAACGAAGCCTTGGCTGATCACTTACTTGTGTTTCCAATCTCCGTTCGACGCGCTTCGCCTCCCACTCACTCGGGCGTCCCGGGATATTCTAAGTTATTCGTTATTTGTTTTCATTTTGTTGCTCGATGCTAAAAGTTGAAATTAAGGAGCTGATTTCCCTACACACACACACACACACACATATATATACACACAAAATTTCAGCTGTTAGATCCCACCTCCTGGGTGACGTTCCTCTGCATCTCTCTGTCTTGTCAAATCAATGAATATTCAAGAATTTTTTTAAAAAAAAGAAGCCTCTTATTTAATGCAAGATATTTGGTAAATAGCTTTCAGAGTAAATCAAAGAGCCTTCCACCCACGCTTTCACACCGGAGAGATTCAGAAAGGTGCCTTTAAATTGTTCTGCAAGTTAGAACATTTTTAACTGGGGAGAGGATTGCCCTCAGATTACTGCAGGGCTGCAATGAGGTGTAACAGTTTGTGTCTGTCTCTCTCTCTCTCTGTATTGCCCGGTCCCCTGGAAAATACAGAGGTTAAAGTTTATTTTGTAGTCCTTCTGTTTTTTTTTCCCTTGTAGAATATCAATATTAACTGTTCTGTCAAACCAGTTCTCCAGACTGAATGCTCCCAGCACTTCGTGACCCTTTGCTTTTTGCAAGTTTTTAAAATTTAATTTTCACCCCTCTCGTCACCTAAGTGTCCCCAGTTTGTTCTCCCTTCTGTTCCTTAATTCTTAGGGGTGGCTCAGTGGCTAGTATTACTGCCTGCATAGCACCCACCCTCGGGCGATTGTGTGGAGTTTGCACACTATGTGTCTGCGTGGGTTTCCTCCCACACTCTGAAGAAGTGCAGGTTAGGTGGATTGGCCATGCTAAATTGCCCATACTGTGCAGGTTAAGTGGGTTATCCATGGGAGATGCAGGGGTGGTGAGTTAGGGTGAGATCCTTTTCGGAGGGTCAGTGTGACTTGATGGGGCGAGTGGCCTGCTTCCATGCCGTGGGGGTTCTATGAACTTTTGTCCGCAATTTTCCTCCGGCTCTCCCTTCACGGACGCTGCAACACCGTCTTACACATTAAGGGGGGAAAATCCTCATTGTTTCTTCTCTAATCCACAACTCCATTGCCCTCCAATTTCATGCAGATACCTGATGCTGCATATGGGACTGAATTAGAATAATTCTATCCCCGGTTCAATAACTTGAAACTGGCCAAAAACTAAACACAGGCTTCGATGCATCTGTGGCGGCATAGACAGTTAGTCCTCACTGGGGAGTCAATTTGTTAACACAGCTTTTAGTCAGCAGGGAAGGCTTACCGTCCCTGACAAGTTCCCATCGCATGGGTTTCTCTGTACACACGGCTGTGGATGGAAGTTACAGGTTGCTCAGTCCTAACCTCTGCGCCCCTAGGAACAGACGGAAGTTCGGGCAAGCTGGAAGTCTTAACTTTAAAATAAAATGTATATAGCATACACAGAGTTGATGGGGGTAACAATGGGAATACACAGCAAGTGATTGAACATCTAGAGAAAAGGGTTTAAGTCCCGGCCGCTCGTCATATTTGTGTTTCTGGTTTTGTGAACATCACTCAGTGCAGGGAACTTAATTTGTGTCTTGATTGTGTATCTCTTTATAATCCTGCTTCTTTCTGAAGCTGTGTGTTCGGTGGTATGACAGTGAATACTGTCCTATCGGTGTGGTAAATGCATGTGCATATGTTACTGACTATTATCGTGTATATATTCCCGACTATAATCATGTATATATTCCCGACTATAATCATGTATATATTCCTATTATCATGTATATATTCCTGACTATAATCTTGTATATGTGACTGGCTATTGTTATGTACATGTTGCTGACTATAATCATATTACTGGCTATTATCACAGTGTATATGGGTGTGTGTGTGCGCGTCTAACTTGACTGGTTTGCTGTCATAGCGAGCTCCCATTTATCCGTCTGTGAGCTTGTACCTTTGTTCCACTTTATCAAAGTCTGAGATTACAGAGAATTCATTTCGTTCCTCTTCCAGCCATTCACAATTAAATTTTACCAACGTTTTACAGAGCCCAAACACAATTGAAGGGTTTTTTTTTAAAAAAATGGTTATAATATGCTAATACTGAATAAAAAGCCACTTTAAAGAACATATCTGAGTTTTTAACGCAACGGGCGGACGAATAAATGAAATTATTTTTAAAAAACTTTTGATGAGGACTTTTGGCGTTATTGCGTGCAGTTTCTGGTTTCCCTGCTACAAGAAGGATGTTGTGAAACTAGAAAGGGTTCAGAAAAGATTTACGAGGATGTTGCCAGGGTTGGAGGGTTTAAGCTTTGGGAGAGGCTGAACAGACTGGGGCTATTTTCTCTGGAGCGTCGGAGGCTGAGGGGTGACTTTAGAGATGTTTACAAAATCATGAGGGGCATGGATAGGGTAAATAGACAAGATCTTTCCCCAGGGTGGGGGAGTCCAAAACTCGAGGGCATAGGTTTAAGGTGAGAGGAGAAAATATAAAAGGGACCTAAGGGGCAACTTTTTCACACAGAGGGTGGTGTGTGTACGGAATGAGTTGCCAGAGGAAGTGGTGGAGGCTGGTACAATTACAACATTTAACAGGCGTCTGGATGGGTATATGAATAGGAAGGGTTTAGAGGGATATGAGCCAAATGCTGGCAAATACAACTAGATCTGTATAGGATATCTGGTTGGCATGGACGAGTTGGACCAAGGGGTCTGTTTCTGTGCTATATATCTCTATGACTGGGAGCTCAGAGTTCATAGAATCATAGAGACGTACAGCACAGAAACACACCCTTTGGTCCAACTTGTCTGTGACAATCAGATATGCTAAACCTCTCTAGTACTATTTGCCAGCATTTGGCCCATATCCCTCTAAACCCTTCCTATTCACATACCCATCCAGTTGCCTTTTAAATGTTGCAATTGTACCAGCCTCCACCACTTCCTCACTCACCTGAAGACCTGCTTTGAGTGCATTAAAGGATAAGATTCTCTCAGCTGGAGCAAGGGAGGAGGAACTTCTGTTATCTACAGATTGGCTTACACCACAGGTTGGAGGACATTCAGCCCCTATTCTGTTCTGGTTCTCTCCAACAGCAACTCATCTAGACCCAGACGAGGCCTTACCTTTCTCTAGCACCTTGCAAACATTTTCACTTCAGCTCTTGATCGCATCCTGTTTTGAAGCTGTCTCATCACACTCTCCAGATGATTCCAGATACAGGGTCCTGGGCTATGTAATAGTACCATACATCAGAGGACCCTCAGCCCACCTACCTACACTAGTCTAGCATCCCAGCATTTGCCCCATTACCTTGAATAATGATATTTCCTGACTGATGCTAGCCATTGGTTGTACAAATTGGTTTCTGCTCCTGCCACCATTGCTTCTTTTTCCAATTACCACCAATCTGTGTCCTCTGGTTCTTGATCCTTCCCAAATAGGACCAGTTCCTCCATGTCAATTCTGTTTAGACTCCTCAGGATTTTGAGCATCTCTGTCAAATCCCTTGCCTGTACCTTTTTTAGCTCCTCACATCTTCCATAGTCAGCAGTGTCTATGGAAGAGTTACTGAACTCAAATGTTGACTCTGCTTTCTTCCCACAGATGCTGCCAGACCTGCTGAGTTTCATGAGCAATTCCTGTTTTTGTCTCTGAACTACCTTGCTTTGGTACTCTATGGTACTATTACATAGCCCAGGACCCTGTATCTCCCAAACTGCCCTGCCTCATGATTTGTGCATGGTTATCCCTCTGCAAACGTCTAGGATTGTGCCTTTCCCTTTGTACTTCCCTAACAAAATGAATCACTTAAGTTCTAACATTGTTTTATCTGCCACTTGTCTACCTTTGAAGATTAGCACTACCATCCTCACAGTCCACAATAATTACAATTCTTTTGTGCTCTGTAGGTTTAAAAATTGCATGATAGAATTAGGGTTAGAGTTAACCCTAATGCAATCACAAGTCTATAGGTGTGGAACAGTAGGGGGGAACAGAATCACAGACCAGTAATGGTGCATAGGAAGCCATATGGCCCATCATGCCTGCACTAGCTCTTTAAATGAGTATCATTAGCTAGTGCCAATTTCCCATATCCTTGCATTATTTTATCCAAATGTGCATCCAATGCCAGTTGCCCAATGCCCTAACACAGACCCTGTGGTATTTCACTCAACACCTTCCTCTGGTCCACAAACCCACAATAAATGCTGGCCCAGCCAGCGACGTCCATGTCCATGAGTAAATTTTTAAAAAGCAATCATTCACTAATACCCTTTTTATGTTACTCAGCCAACCTCATATTCATCCTTCCTTACATGTTTAACATTCCTGCCAAGCCTGTTGTGGCTATTTCTCACATACCTTTCAGAAGTCCATATATATCGCATCAGCTGTATTACCTTAATCAAACTCATCAAAAAAAAACCTCCAGCATTTGAATTAAACATGATTTCCACACTGGCTTTCTCTAATTCACTTGTCTCAAGTAGCTGTTAAGTTTGACCCAAATTATTTTGTCAAAAAGCTTTCCCACCACCACCAAGGTTAAGCTTCCTCTCCTGTGGTTGCTGGGTTTATCCGTACATCCTTTTCTTGAATAAGGATGTATTATTTACAATTCTCCAGTTTTCTGGCACTATCTCAGAAATCCAAGGAGAATTGCAATATTCTTGTCAGTGCCACCATAGTTTCCACCTTTACCTCCCTCAGCTTCAGATGTAGCTTAGCCTGGATACCTGTCAATTTCAAGCACAGTCTGCCCAATATCTCCGCAATATCAATTTCTATCTCACCCAGAGTATCAAGTATTTTCACTATGCCTTTGGCAGTGTCTTCTTCCTCAGTGAAAACAGACACAATGTATTTAAATGTGCCAGTCATTGTGACCAACTCTTAGTGAAAGGATGAAAGGATACTTTACTTTTTTGAGCAGTCGAGATGTTTGTTGGTGAGATCTCAGGAGCAGTGGTTCACAAGACCGGCAGAGCACTCTGCTTGATTCACCAGACCCTCAGCCCTTGCTCTTAAACCCCTCTAGACCTACCTACTCCTGCCAAAACCACTAAGACCCTCAGATATGCCCGGACTCACCCTCTC